CTACTGCTACTACTATTACTACGACTACTACGACTACTACGACTACTACGACTACGACTACGACTACTACTACTACTACTACTACTACTACTGCTACTGCTACTGCTATTACTACGACTACTACGACTACGACTACTACTACTACTACTACTAATACTACTTCTTCTTCTTCACCACCACCACCACCACAACAACAACAATTACAACTTGCAATTGAACGCTGTGCGAGCGGGCTCCACGCTTGGCCGGCACATTACTGCACCAAGCACTCACGCCGTGTGAAACCGACCCGAAAATCAATACATGACTGAGCTACCTGATGCGTAAGATGTTGGCTCTTGGCGACCAATCCGCTGTGCTGCCTCACACGCTGAGCCGACAAGCACATGAGGCTCCCTCCCCATCTCCACCGCGCAGGATTGCCTGCTTCCGCTTCCCCATATCCAAAGACCGACGAGTACATGAGAGGTTCAGGAGATTTCCACACAGCAGGACCACAGTCTAAGCCCGGAGCTGTGCCTGCTTGAGTACCTGTCGAAAGCTGGAGTTCTGTGGCTGAGCTGAGCACTCGACGGCATTAGCAAATTGGCTCTGCAGTCATCGCGGCCTTTTGTCCTGGTCTTCATCAACGTTGGCACGGCAGGGCAAAAGGAGAAAGGCCCTCTTGGCCATTGCCATTGCGAAGGAAAAGTGGTGAGGTGCAGGAGTGGTTCCAGCCTCTCTCTCTCTGGCGCTTATCTGTTGGGGGGGGCCTCAGCCTGGGACTGCCGCTTGTCCCGAGCCTGTGCCCGTTCATAGCTTTGCCGGGCTTGCTTCTCGCCTAGCTTGTGGTCAATCTTTATTTTGCGAACCCTCGTCCCGTCCTGGTTGGGCATGAAGATAAGCATGCGATTGGACAAACCACAAGACGGGCAGGTCTGATCATAGATAGACTTGAGGGTCGAGGCCAGGATCTCAAAGTTGTCGTCGGTCTCGATGACGCCCGGCAGGTCCTCGTGGTCCCAGAATCGTACAACTGAGAGTTGGTGAGGCCGAAGAAGCCGGTGATGGGGCTGAGCTCGCGGTTCAACTCTCCCTGGCCCAAGGAAATGGTGAGTTGACCGTCAGCTCCGACCATGAGTCGAGCTGTCATGGCATCCGCCACAAAACAACAATCATTTGTTGAACGCTGAGCGAGCGTGCTCTGCCCATTGCGGGCGAGTGGGTCAGTCAACTCAGACGTGCCGTAAGCATAGGCTGCAGCGCCGTCACCAGTATCAGACTTGCCGACATCCTCAGAGAAGAAAATGAATTGCCCATGGTCGGAACGGAAATTTAAAAAATGAGGCCTGTGTAAATCGAAGTACCGCTGCTTACTGCACAGTGCTGTGGCAACTTTCGGGGACTGTCTTCAAAAGGGTAGGTCACTGGACTATGCTATCAGTTTCCGAGGGTGTTGCCGTGAGCTGGCACCGGTAGCATCTGTACAACTCCACACGTGACAGCCCGGATCACAGACTCTTGGTCAGGTTTCCTCCGGCACCCTCAGCATGAGTCACTCACGAACTGGCAGCCGGTGAGTCATACTCCGAAAAGCCGTCTCTCAGAGTTCCCGCCTACTGGCGTCCCACACAAGGAAAACTCCGGACTACCAGCGATGGCCCGCAAGGACAGTGCGTCCATGAAGCGCGTTGGCCGTCACTCCGAGCACTACCTGACCCCGTCGGTAACAGGACACTAACGAACACAACTGGGCCCGTAGCACAGCACGCGTCCGCTTAGCGACTGTACCTTGGTGTGACGTGGAGCCGTACCAAAGTAGACAACATGTCGGGACTGGAGACGTTGGCCTGCGCGTCTGAAACTGAGTCCTGTCTGTCCCAAGCTCCAAGCTGTCGAGAACAAGTCTGGTCCGGGGCCTGTGGAAAGGCTTCCCCCTCAAGAGAGGATAGCCATCCCAGGCCCTCAAGGGCACCCCCATAGCAGGTGCAGTCCCAGGGGTGCACATCAGGGCCAGCATTGGGAGGATGCTTTCGAGTTGCAGGCCGTAAAGTTGCAGACATCTGCTCGTTTTTTGAACTTGTTCGCAGGCGCTGGCAGCTGAGCATCAGCCTGCAGACCGAAATGCAGCCATCTTCGGGTTGTCTTTCGCATCCCCGCCCTGCTCTGGATGGGCGTAGAAGAGCCTCGAGCGAAGAGGCGGCCGACTGCACGCTGGCCCCTCTTCAGCCTCAGACGACAAAGGACAGCTTGCAACGGCTTTTACAGAAGTTCAGTTGCAAGCACCCATGTGGAGGTAGCGGGTTGGGCAACGGTTTCGGTGAATTGAGGTGTTTGCATGGGCGGTGAGGTGTCGCCTGTAGGTGGAGACAGAGGTCGGTATAACAGTTGAGGTCACAAGGCTCTTCTTCGCAGCTTGGCAATGCGCTGTCTTCGCGGACCGTTGGTTGCTCCGTCCTTGCGTCGGAACTCGATTCTGCAGGCGACTCCGCATGCCTATGCAGCAACCGTGACTGGCCTTTAGATCGGAACGTCCGGGATTAGTGTCCTTTCTCTTAAAACGTCTTAAAAGTACAGCTGTTAGAGCGACCCTCTGGCATGCCAGAGCATGGCCTCAGCAGGCCCTCGGTCATGCACAAGCCAGCGGAAATCCGTACTCCCCGCCGACTCCTGTTTCATAAACACTCGGATTGTCAGGAACTGTCTGAAAAGAACCTGGGATCGAATCTCGCATGCTCCAGAGCGTCCACCCACTCGGCGATCTCGTTCGCTGCCTTAGGGATTCTGTTTGCCGCCTTGAACTCAGAGACTTCTTTTCGTCGGGAGTCGGGGCGAGGATGGTGCACAAGCAGTTCTGTCAAGCATCTAGATTTGCTGTCGATGTTTCTTTGTTGGTCCAACTTGTTTTGTATGGTAGACCATCGGCGCGGGGCTCCACTGTGCCATACATTCGTGGTCACATCGAACCGCAATCTGATTCAAGGAGGGCCATATCTCCGTGTGCATGTACCTTCATTCCGTCACACCGCGCTAGACTGGACGCTGAGGCCCCGGGCATGTGAGCGCAGGATCGCCAAAGCGCTCTGCCTCATCAAGGGAACGAAGGTCTGACAATGCTTCCCTCCCATCGAAGCTTCCGTCCAAGCTTCTCCCGGTGCTGCACCAAAGGTTCTCGTCGGTGTCGGAGGAGCGCGATCGCACTGGCTATGTCGCAGCCGGTGGCAGCCCACTGTGTGCTTGCGTGCCTGGGTGGAGTTGCCAAAGCAGATTGCGCGAAAAGGCCTTGAGTGTCTCGTCCCACGGCACCAGACCTCGTCTTGAAAGCTTCCTTCAGGGTACCCAAGTTCAGAAGACGGCCACTGTAGGACTGGAGCTGCTCCTTGATGGGTTTGGTGTGGCAGGTCCTTTCGTAAACATAAGAGCATAGGTGGGAGAAAAAGCACTAAGGGAAAGTAGGGTCGCCATCCGCTAGTTTCGCAACATCTGATGTAAACCAAATATTGCTCCTTCCACAGCGCAGAAAGGTGGAAACCCTACCGCTTACCTCCAGCTCGTCCAGGACTTGCTGGTCGCAAGGAGGCGCCCGAAGCCTGGTTAGCACAGCTAAGATGTCGTCTGTGAACCGTAGCAGCAACATCAACAGCAACAACAACAACAACTACTACTACTACTACTTCTACTACTACTACTACTACTGCTACTACTACTTCTACCACTACTACCTCTGCTACTACTACTACTAC